CTGACCTAAGAGACTCAGCCCTTTCCCTGCGTGAGGTGGAGAACCCGTCTTCTCTCAGAAAAGCCACACGCACAAGTCTTCAGGGCACAAATCCCACGAGGACTAGGCCCCGCCCCCCACCCCTTAGCGGGCTCCGGGCGGGTGGTAGCGTCCAGGCGGCCGTCCAATCAGAAGGCTCCAACGCAGCGGAAACGCGTGGCCTTGTAAGGGAGGGGCTCCAGACTGCCCACGTCTCCATAGCGACAGCCTCTGGCCGGCTTCAGAGGCGTAGGGGCGGGGCCGGGCTGGTGAGAGCGGTCGCCAGTGGTGCCCAGTCTGGAGGCCTTGGCTCCCGGGCTGCGCTCCTTTTCTGCTCTTTGGCAGCTCCCCCACCGCTGTATATTGGCGGTCCCCTCCTTCGAGGACTGCCCAAGCTCCCGTATCTCCGATGAGGAAACTGAGGCCTGGAGAAAAGTGGAGTGTTGGTTGCAGAAAGGTTGCACCGTTAGCCTAGGACTAGAACCTACTTATCCAGTCCCTACTACGAGGGTTGTCAGATTTAGCAGGTGAACTAGGAAAGCCCAGCTAAATTTGAATTTTAGATAAACAAATGGAACATATGTATACCAAGCAACAACTCATTATTTATCTAAAATTCAAACTGAATTGAATTGCTCGGTTTTATCTGACAGTGCTACCCACTATGTGCTGCAAGGCAATGAGCTTGGTGCTACAGATAGCCACAACACAACCTGAAAATCATAGCTCCACCTGAAATAACCCACGACCCAATTAATTTAGTCAGAGGGGTGATTAGTGCTCTAAAGGCACAACAGGCCCAAAATGAATAGTGGAGGATTTAAATGCACCGGAATTCCTTCCCCAGCCCTCAATGTCAGATCCCACAGAGGCCCTCCTAGTTTCACTTTTTCCTTCTATTTTGCAATCATTTGGCCTTACTTCACTCCCATAGACTTCCCCTCCCACTGCCTAGCTGGGGCCCCCAGTGGGGTTTCTAATTCCACTCTCCTCTCTTTGAAAACTGTCCTCTTTGGGGGAACCTGACAACTCAAGGCTTCAATACCCCTTAGAGCAGGAGATTGGTGCAAATGTGGAACAGAAGCACCAGGAGGTCTGGGGGTCTCCCTCCCTCCTAGGCAGCTGGTCTGCAGAGCTCACCTTCTAGCCAATTACTGCACCACTTCCAGGGGCTCAGTCTAGTTCAGGAGAATCAATCACTGTTTTGAAACAGATGAAATTTTTGAGGGAGGGCTCAAAAGACCTCATCTTAAGCCTTCTCTTAGTCCTCCAGATCTTTGGTTACCCCAGGACATGATAACCTGGCTCAGGACAGCAGGTAGCATGGTGGTTAAGGCACTGGACTTACACATGGCCATCCATGGCTTAAGTCCTGGACCTCACGGCGTGCTTTCTCACTTTCTCCCTCTCTTTGGTCAAATTTAAAATAATAAAATTAGGAAACTCTTTTTTTTTTGCTATAGGGTGCACACTCTCGCCAGAAAGACAGAGAGAGACAGAGAGCGAGTGAGAAATCACCCCCAGGGGGGGATGGCCACACTGTCATCCCTTCTCATTCTTCTCTCAGGATCTTGGGCACGCATGCACACACACCCAGTGTGAATTTAAGCCACCGGGTCTGAGACTTGAACCATGGTCGAGTGGAAGTTCAGTAACATAGCCATCACGCCAACTGCTGGTCACAAGGCAATGATAATAATAATTAAAATAATTATAACAACCTGGCTAGTCCCTACTGGGTTCTTCAGATTCCATTCCTTGTTGGGACACCCTTACAGCAAGGAAACTGGCCTCCTTTTTGAGAGTCAACTTGTTGAGGATTAGGCTATCTATTCAGTAAAACATAAGTTCTTGAGATCCCAGAGGCAAGATGAGCCTGGGATCTGACTCTGCCTGGGTTCCTCGCTCATCTCCACAATGTACCCACTTGGTGGCCTCGGGCAAGTGATATCATTCTCTGAGTTTCTGTTTCTTCTGTTGTGATATTAAGATATTAACTAGATAGTTCCTATCTCAAAGGGCAGACAGGATTAAAGAAGATAATAGAACCAGAAAAGCAGAAGGTGGCAATGCACATAATAAAGTCATTAGAATTAGTAAATAAGAGGTTGACAGCTGGCATGGTGGGTAAGGTGCTGGAGTCCCACATGACTGGCTGCAGTTCAAGTCTCGGACCTGGAGGCTTGCTTTCTCACTTTTCCTCTCTCTCTCCCTTTGGTTAAAAAATAATAATTATGGGGCCAGCAGTTAGCGTAATGGCTATGTCGCTGGACTCCCACGTAGTCGACCACAGTTCGAGTCCTGGACCCGGTGGCTTAAACTCACACCGGGCGTGTGTGTGTGCATGCCCAAGATCCCGAGAGGAGAGTGCAGGAGAAGGGATTTGCGGCATGGCCATCCCCCCGGGGGGTGATTTCTCGTTTTCTGTCGCTCCATCTCTCTCTGTCTGTCTGATGAGTGCACGTGCCCTATAGCAAAAACCTCTCCAAAAAAAAAATAATAATAATTATGATGATAAATAAAAATTAATAAATCTTCTTTTAAAAAAGAATTGCTAAATAAATGAAACTACATTTTAGATGCATCCTAAGACCAACCATCCATCGCCACAAAACCAAAAGTTAAATCATCCTGATTTTCCTGAAATGCTAACCGTAAACATAAACATAAATTTTTGGTCCTCATCAGCATGATTCAATGGACTTAAACCAATGGCTATAAACAAATCAATCTAAACAGCTATTTGCCTTAATTACATGGCAGCCCATGATGAAAGGAGAAAATACTTCCTCCGTTATGTTACAACTGCTGTCAGTATAGGCTTCTTGCTAATCTTGGTGTGCAATCTACCAATTCTTTTGTAGAAATATATGTTTTTTTAATTTCTTAAGGATTTTGCAATAAGGCATGTGAGCTTGCCAGAGAGAGAGAGACAGTGAAAGATAAAGAGAGACATCACCCCCCCAAGGGAGGGGTGACCACCTGCAATCCCTTCTCCTCTCCTCTCCTCTCCTCTCCTCTTGGGATTTTGAGCATATACACACACGTGTGCGGAACTCGAAGCATAGTCAGACATGTGGGAATTCAGCGCCTTAACCATGCTACCTGTTGGCCTACAAGGTGAATTTTTAAAATTTTAATTTGAAGGCTAGCAGATGGTGTGGTCCTTGAGATGCTGAGGTTAAACCAATGAGGTTAGGGACCAGCAGATAATGTAATGGTTACATCACTGGACTTCCCATGTAGTTGACCACGGTTTGAATCCCAGACCCAGTAACTTAAAATTCAGTCAGTTGTGAAACCAGCAGGTGGCATAATGGTTACGTTGCTGGACTCCCACATAGTTGACCGTGATTCAAGTTCTTGACCCAATGACTTAAAACTCAGGCTGGACATGTGTGCCCAAAATCCCAAGAGGAGACTGGAGGAGAAGGGATTATGGCATGGCCATCTCCCTTTGGGGGAGAGGGTGTGATTTCTTGATTTCTGTCTCTTTGTCTCTCTCTGTCTCTCTGGCAAGTATATGTGCCCTACAGTAAGAAGTCTCTCTCAAAAAAAAAAAAAAAAAAAGGAAAAGAAAATTCAGCTGGACACCAGTAGTTGGCATAATGGATATGTCAGTGGACTCCCATGTAGTCAACTGCGGTTCAAGTCCTGGACCCAGCTGCTTAAACTCACGCCGGACACGTATGCATGTGTGCCCAAGATCTCAAGAGGAGAATGGAGGAGAAGGGAATATGGCGTGGCCATCCCCCCTGGGGGGTGATTTCTCGCTTTCTGTCTCTCTGTCTCTCTCTTTCTGGCAAGTGCACATGTCCCATAGCAAAAACCTCTCCAAATAATAATAATAATAAAACATAAAACAAACAACAGCAAAACCCCTAGCATTGTGAGAGCGCATTGGTAAGTGCTCAATAAATAGCAGCCATGGATGTTTAGAGACACACAGACCTAGATTAGCAGAGAGATCATGAAGGGTTGTTAAAAGTACCTGGCTCATAGAAAATCCTCAATAGCTACTAATCATATAAAAAGAAATGACTAGGAACTAGCAGGTGGCATGATGATTAAGGTACTGGACTCCCACATGGCCAACTGCAGTTCAAGTCCTGGATCCAGTAGCCTGAAAGTCATGTTGGGTACATGTGCCTGTGTGCCCAAAAATCCAGGAGGAGAATGGCCGAGAAGGGATTGCAGTGTGGCCATCTCCCCTGGGGGGTGATTTGTCACTTTCCCTATCTTTGTCTGTCTCTTAACTAGTGCAGATACCCTATAGCAAGAAAACAAAAAACAAAAACAAAAACAGAGGAAAAGAAAGAAATGATTACAATATGGAATGCAGGCAATCTGATAAACAGAAAAGACTTCAGGCTAAGGAACTGGGAAAAACCCTTCCACCCAAGGGAAGGGAAAAGCCAAAGGGAACCAGAGTTCAAAAGTGGAAGAGGGAACAACTCTTCGTGAGCTCACAGAGGCCATTTCACCTTGACCCACAAAACTGAAAAGGGGTGTGTCTTCCTGTCCAGATAAGGATCAGAAGAACAAAGGATGCTATTAAGTCTTGCCTATTTTAAGTTGATGGGATATTTTTCCCCCTTAAAGATAAGCTCACAATGCAAGTTCAAAAGGTGAATCCAAAGAAGGTATGGGAGCCAGCATGCTTTCTGCTGGGCTGCCCAGCCAGCCCTCGGACTCCAAGGTGAGTGGTCTGGTCTCAATGCTAAGTTTTCTCACTTGGGGCCTCTGGGAGTTAGACCACAAGGGGACCAGAGCCACACAGAGAGGCCAGGAGCCAGCCCACGGTGTCACTTTGTCCTGGCCCACAGTGGGCAACTCCAACCAAGAAACCTGGCAGGGTCTCCAACCTTACAGGAGGGAAAATGGGCTTAGCGTGTCTTCATGTCCCCCAGGAGGATATGAGTCACAGGGAAGAAGCTGGCCAGGCCTACTGTGACTGAAGACCAGGACAGAAAAAACAAGCACTTTCCAATCAGATGGCCTTGGGCAAGTCACTTCCCTTCTGCATCTCCATTTTTCACCCATAAATGAGGTGAGGACAATCTTCAGCCTCCTGGGGCTGGGATGAGGATAATATAAACTTAGGGAGCCAGTCAGTGACATGGAGTTTCCGGTGGCTGGATCTCACATGGTCAATTGCATGGGTTCAAGTCCTGGAGCCAGAGGCTTGAGAAAAATGCCAGACATGTATGCATGAGTACCCACAAACCTGAAAGGAAGGGAAAAGGTGAAGGAATTGCTGTATGACCATTCCCTGGGGGTGGGGGGTTGCGCAAGCGCTCTCTCTCTCTCTCTCTCTCTCTGGCAAGTTCACATGGCCTCTGGTAAATTAAAAGAAAGATGGGGGAGAGGTCCAGCAGGTGGCAGGGTGATTAATGCACTGGACTCCCACATGGTTGACCATAGTTCAAGTCTCAGACCTGGCGACTTGCTTTCTCACTTTCTCTCTCTCTCTAGTATGCACAAGTGCGCTATAGCAAATGGAATAATAATAAAAATACATAAAGTTAGACAAATACTTTTTAAAAAATAGACTGGAGCCAGCAGGTGGTGTCGTGGTTAAGGTCCTAGACTCCCCCATGGCCAACCGTGGTTCGAGTCCTGGACCTAATGGCTTAAAAATCATGCTGGGCACATGTGCATGCATGCCTAAAATCCCAGGAGAATGGAAGGAGAAGGGATTGGTGTGTGGCCATCCTCCCCAGGGATTTATCAATTTCCTTCTTACTGTTTCTCTCTGGTAAGTGCACGAGTCTTATGGCAAAAAAAAAAAAAAAAAAAAAAAAAGGCAAACTCGGGAGAGAGCCCTACATGGCTTTGTAAGTATTCTATATGTATCATATCTTTGCTGTGTTTCTTTGTTTTGAGGGGTTTGGGGGGCTTTTTGTGGTTGTTTGTTTGTTTGTTTTTGCCATAGGGTGTGTGTGCTCTCCAGAGAGAAACAGAGAGGGAGAAAGGCAAAGCGAGAAAGCACCCCCTAGAGGGAATGGCCACCCTGCAATCCCTTCTTCTTTCTCTTCTTGTGATTTTAGGCATACATGCCTGGTGTGATTTTTAAGCCTCTGGGTCCAGGATTTGAACCACAGTTGGCCATGTGGGAGTCTAGCGCCCTAACCACCATAACACCTGCTGGCCCCATAGCATTCTTCCTTTAAATAATCTTACTAGGAACCCCCAAATATAAGTCAAGGCAAAGGGGTTCTAGTTCTAGTTTTGAACTGCAGAAGCCCAGCCTGGGCCTCTCACTAGGTTTCTCCGCACAGTGGCCTGCCTGTAATTCTCAAGTCTCTTTGTCAGCTGCCAAATCTTGGATCTTATTTAAGAGGCTGCACACTGGGGACAGAGGCATCCTAGCTTATCCTTGACTCCACTCTCTCCCGGTGGTGTTCCTGGGGGTTCACTCTGCTAGCTGATGGAGAGGTCCACGGAGGCCCTCCTTCTGCAAACTGCCCTCCAAGGCTACTGCATGTCAGAAACCGTGTAGATCAGGAGTTTCGGGGTAGAGCTGAGCTGCTCCAGGGGCAGGCTGGGCTGCAGGCCTGCCTCACGGGGCACGGAGCCAAGGGCTTAGTCTCAGAATTGGATTAGTAGAGTGAATTTGGAACTCCCAGCCCCACTGGCCTCAGGACATGGGGATTACCCGGGGCCTCTGGCTGGGGCTCACAGTACTTCCCACGTTCTCTGCCAGGTCTGAGAACAAGAATCTGCGCGTAAGCACAGGGGCAGCCGAGGCTCCGCCCACCTCCCAGCACCAGCCTTTAGCCCAGCAGCCTCCCCAAGCACACCTGCCTCCCGCGTGCCTGGGATTTCCAGCAGCGTTAATCAGCTGGTGGCCCATGCACCGGCAGCATCAGCAGCCTCTGGGTACTTGTTAGAGATGCAAATACACAGACCCTGCCCCAAAGGCAGAATCAGAATCACTGGGGTGGGGCCCAGATCTGTGGCTTAAAGCCTCCAGATTCTCACGGGTGCTCAAGTTTGAGAACCAACGGCTTGGAGCATACCAGACAAAGGTCCCCTGAAATCACCCAAGTATGCCCCCACCAAGCAAGCCTGTCAAAGATTCTGGGCAACTTCTACCCACAAACTTCTCCTTTGGGTTCCTCCAACCTTCTACTCACAGAGATGAATTACAGGGCTGGCCCCGTAGTCTAGTGGTTAGGATAGCTAGATCCCGCATGGCCGACCATGCAGCTGAAATCCTGGTCATGGCAGCCTAAAAAACACTCCAGGCACATGTGTGTGCGTGTTCAAAATCCTGACAGCAGGGAGAAATAGGGAAGGGATTATGGCGTGATCATGGGTGTTTTCTACCATTTTCTCTGTCTCTCTAGCCAATGCACACACTCTCCAACAAAATAAAAAAGAAAGAATTGGGGGCCAGCAAGTGGTATAGTGGTTAAGGCACTGGACTCCCACATGGCTAACTGTGGTTCGAGTCCCGGACCTGGCAGTTTGAAACACACCGGGTATGTGTGTATGCATGCTCACAATCCTGAGAGGAGAATGGAGAAGGGATTGCTGCATGACCATCCCCTCTAGGGGGTGATTTCTCACTTTCCCTCTGTCTCTTCAGGGAATGAACATGCTCTATAGCAAAAATCTCTTTAAAAAAAAAAAAAATAAAGAGGTTACAAAGATTGTAATGGGTCCATTCGATATTCTGCCACTCTGCACAACTTCACTGCAGTGTGTGAATACCAGCCCCAAGAAGTGTGCAATGAAATGTCTCAAGAGAGGCCAGGAGGTGGTGTGGTGGTTAAAGGCACCAGACTCCCACATGGACGACAGCGGTTGGAGTCCCGGAAGTGGCAGCTTGCTTTTTCACTTTCTCTCTCTGTCTCACTCTGGTCAACTTTTAAAAAGTAAAATAAAAATAATGACAATGAATAAAATTAAATAATAATAAAAAAGAAATGTCTCAAGAGAACTCACTGTGCCCCAACCCCTACCTTTATTATCTCCACATTACAAATGAGGAAAGTGAGGTTCAGAGAGGGCACACAACTGGCCCAAAGTCACACAGTGAGCAAACCCAGGGCCTGGCCACCACATAGCCTGCTCCCACTTAGGAGAGACAATGGCAGCTGTTTCTATCTCTGTCTGATCACATACTGAGACTTCCTCCAGGCCAAAACCCCTAACACTACCTGGGGTACCTTTCCCTGACTTCCCCAGGGTCTCCTTATAATATCCTGCTAGGGAGACCAGTAGGTGGCATGGAGGTTAAGGTGCTGGACACTCCCACGTGGCTGACCATGGTTTAAGTCCCAGACCTGGTGGCTTGCTTTCTCACTTTCTCTCTCTCTGGTCAAATGAAAATAAATAAATGAATAAATAAAATAAAATAAATAATTCTTAAAAAAAAATGTATGATACCCTGCCAAAGGCTCACCTATTTTCGCAATAGCATCATCGCAATTTGCAATCACACGGGGACATGTTTGTTTATATCGTGTCGTCTTCCTGACCAGTATGAAAACTCTGAGAAGATAGTAGGGAGGGCAGACCCCGATAGATATACAACCAATAGCCACCCTCTTCTTTCTTTCTTTTAGAATTATTTTATTTAATAATATTCATTGTCATTATTATTATTTTAATTTGACCAGAGAGAGACAGAGACAGAGGGAAAGTAAGAAAGCAAGTCGCCGAGTCCAGGACTCGAACCACTATCAGCCATGTGGGAGTCCAGTGCACTTAACCACCACACCACCTGCTGGCCCCAGTCACCCTCTCCTTACAGTACCCAGTTTTGTTGGGGCAGCTGGATACTGGGCTAAATAACTATATTCTTCCGTCTCCCTTCCAGTTAGAGGTACTGGACTCTGGTCTAGGAGATGAGAGTGGAAATCTGAGTACATAATAGGTGCTCAATAAATGCACATTGACCGCAGGAGTGTTCGACAGGTCCTGGCATGCAGCTGGTGCTCAGTATGTGTGTATGTGTATGTGTGTGCGTGACCCAACCAGGCCCAAGAAGCAAAGACCGCCACAGGTGGCTTTCTCTCGGAAATACTTTTATTGGTTCTGAGATAACAGGGCTGAGGCGAGCTGGGAGGGCACAGAGCTAAGGAGGGCAGCGAGAGGCTTTGCCCTGGGGCGGACATGCTGTGTGGGGTCTGCTGGCGGGCTCCCTGGCCCACCCAGCCAGCAACGGCTGGGTACATGGCACTTGGCGCCTGGCATGACCTCTGCCGGCTTGGCACTGTGGCCTCCTCGTTGGTGGGCGCCCCCCTTTCCAGTTGCAGGAGTTGTGAGTCTTTCACAGTGCGGAGGGGTGGGGGTCCGGGGTGGGCACCTCCCCGGCGTGCAGGCAGGCCCCATCCGCCAGTACATCCTGGGCTCTCGGCGCTTCGGCAGGGTGAGGCGAGCTCTGGCTCCTCTTCTCCCCGCCTGTGGAGCTTGGCAGTCCTGGAGGGGCCCTGGCAGCCTCAGCGGGACATCATCCGGACAAACTCTGGGGCAGGTACAGGAGCAGGCGGGGAGACAGCCGCAGTCAGGGCACAGCCCAGGATGCCTCCTCCACACCCTCCTCCCCATGGATGGCCCTAACTCTGAGCTAGCTCCCACCCCTGCTCTGACCTGACCTCTCCTGTCCATCTTCACGGAGCAGGTAGCTCGAGCTTTCAGATCTGCCTATCCGACCTCTGCTTCAACCTCCCGTGGCTCCCACTGACAATGTCCACTGTCCTGAGTTGGCCTTGGGGCCTTGCCTGGTCTGACCCTGGCTGACGCCACTGGCCACATCTCTCATAGTCACCCCAGGTCTCTGTGCTCCACCTACAAAGACTTCTGTTTTGGCAACTCAAGTGCAGATGGCACCCTGTCTCTTGTTCTCTCGTCTCGGCTTTCTTTCTTTCCCT